GGGCAACGACTTGAAGGCACAAACTAAACTGTTCATAATTTATCATTTATGGTACGCCAGCATTCAGAACGTAGGCGAATCCCTGTCCCCCAGACATCTGTGGTTATATTTTTTATATTTATATTTTTTAAATCAAAGCGGAGTGTGTATGAGCTGCTAATAAGGGAATCAGAATCCTGAAAATCTTATCAATTCCCAACCCTACTTGTGACAGTGTAATGACAATAAAACGTTCGGGGGGGGAATAAATAATTCAGACCTTTTCCTGCTCAATTTCAAGTCTTGTTCAAAACTGGTTTCATAACAACCTGAAAATAAATATTAAAAAAATCACGTCTTCCCTTTGGCACTGATAATTTACGTTCTTCTCCTGATTTATGTTTTCAGTTTGATAATGGTTCCACTGTTCGTAAAGCTAACTCAGTGAAATATCTTGGAATGTGGCTTGATCCTGAACTCACCTTTAAACCACATATAGATTATATTGTAAAACGAACATATGCCACCTTAAATTCTCTTTTTGATGCAGCCAATTGCTTCACTTATGAGTTGAGAAAAAGTGATTACTCCGCTAGTTTTGGCCATCCTTGATTATGCTGATGCCATTTAACAACGGGTTTGCTTTCCTTGAAAATCTAAAACATGCTGTAAATCAGTTTATGAGATTTAAATATTGATAACATCTATAAAGAAAGCAATCTGGTATAAAAGTTTATACATTTTTGCGTCATATTTAACATCTCACACAATAACAACAAAACACAATAAACTAAAAAAATATAGCTTAGCCTTTATTTCCACCCTGATAAGTCAGAGTTTAAGACAAAGCTGTCAAATCTCCTAACTAGCATTCTTAAAGGTTGTTATTAAGGCTTGAAGAAGAAAAAATCATGCAAACAAGATTATTTCAAATAATACAACATGAGTTAAAGTTTCTGCAAGTAATAAAGAACATCAGAGAAACTCATACAGTGCACCAAAGCTGTTGGATCACTGCACAAAAATCAAAGTGAAAAAAAAAAAACAGAGATTAAAAACATTTAATGAAACACTGAAGGCAAAAAAGACCAACTCTCTTAAATGTGATATGCTCATTAAAATGTTAAGCCTTAACCTAAAGGTTAGAATAGATTGTTGCAAGATAAAGCACAGCAGATTATGTCAAACTATCACTATCATCTTTATGTTCAGAGCTTTAAACTAAATTATTTTGGAAATATTTATCTTAAATTTATTTGCTTTAGCTGTATATCAATATATTATTTTGAGTAACCCTGGCTTAAAGTTTCATTATAATCTAAGCAAAGAAGCTATTATAAATAAACTATTAAAATGTCTTAACTTATTCTGCATTCAACATGTGATCTTTGGCGTCAAAATTCAGATCTTTCATTTTCCGTTCTATCAAATTATTCTAGTCTCTTTTTTTCTTTAGTGTTTAAAACAGTTTATCATTTATTTTGGCAACTTTAACTACAGTGCAGTTGTGTTGCCAGTATCAAACATCATATGATGGAAATATTCAACAAACTGCAAGAATATTTAGTGTGTGTTATTTAAGAAATCTTATAAAGTTTATACTCAGCATTTTTTTCCTCCTTTTTCTTTAGTCTCAAATTGTTAAGATGAGCAACAATGCATATTTTTCATTCTGGTAAAAGTCAAAGAAAAGAAAAGCACCATTTCCAAAGTCTACGATGGCAAAATACTTATTTAAAGTTGGATTATTGCAGTTAATTATGTTAGAAGTGATTTATTATGGAAACTATGTTGTTTCTTAGATCTGTATCTTCTGTAAATTATGTAGAGTAATAGAAGACGGCTACCGGTTAAATATGGAGCAACCCGCTTTCCTGCACAACGATCCATGTGCACAGAAATCTATTTCATCCTTTTTAAGATTGCTTGTAGCTCTGACCATGGAAAAAGTGCTCCTTCTGTCTCGGCCAGTTCTGTGACATGAACTGTCTCGCTCATTTGTCAAGAAGTTTAACAAGACTCTGTCGAAGGTCATTAAGGTCAAAGATCTTAATGTCAAGAATTTCTATAGCCCTCTGGATCTCAGTATCGATACGATCCCGATCTTCCAGGGAGTTATTGAGGTTCTGCTCTGCGTTTTGGATTCGACGCTCCAACTCTGAGCTCCTCATCTCCATTTCCTACAATATAAATAAGACAAAATGACATGTTACGACCGTCAAAAGGAGAAGCACAAGCAATTCATATTATTGCATAATTGTAATAATATTTCT